TTTTTTTTTAATTATCTTCAACCCGCACAGCCCAGCATAGAGCAGATGTGACTGGACAGATGTACGGTATATGCGGATCTTCGGGGCGACGCCCATGCCATATCCGGTCCATACATAAATTCGAAGGCTTGAGAAAACTCGGTGGACAGTATCGATTCAGGCGACACCGTTGTCTTTATTCTGTCCATTTGGCAGCAGCCTCGTCCGGAAGTATTTGAAACTGTATACTTTTTCAAGTTAATACGAATTAATATCGAGTTGCACCTTTTTCTGGTTAAAAAGACAGGTTGAAAACGTTTTGGTCGGTAAGGATGACGTAAAGGGCCCTCTAAACAAGCCATAGCAACAGGAATCGTCCACCATGCAGATAGACTTACGTAAAATTACGGGGAAGATAGGGTCAGGGTTATATAAGGTAGGGTTAAAGTTATGGTTAATGGCAACTCTAGGATTAGAATTTAGGTAAGGGTTAAGATGAGGACTGCGGTTTTTGTTTATGTTAGGATTATTGTCAGGATTAGGTCGCGGGAACCTTTACTTGTCCTGGAAGAATTAGCATTGCCACCAATGTTACTTAGGCGGGACGTTCCTATTCCTTGTTCTGGTTAGGTTGCTATACAAGTAATCCTTTTCCCTTTGTTCTTCCCAACGTTTATGGATACACCGATGGACTTAGCATGACACCCCTAACTCAGACTGGAGATCCCAAAGCTCGAAACCAGCAAGTCGCCATCATCAGTCTAGTCTAGATTAGTCAACGTGCGACCGGGTGCAAACTCAGTTTTGTGTAGGTCCTTCCAGAGCGTCCAACAAATAATGCATTTAAACAGAATGGGCAAGAGTATACCGCTGGGTTGGCCAAATCGGTTAGCAAACGGTTGGACATATTTTTTTACGTTAGAACTCGCGAAGTGGTTGGCCTTGAAGAAGACAATGCTTTTGACCGGCACACTATCTAGTTCTGTTGTCGGCAACAGTATCTTATGTAGGCCCACTCATTAATCCCTCCTTCCTGCATGTTTTCCTACGAAAACGGTGGTTATAGGATTTTATGGGTGGGAAATTAGGGCACGCAGTGGAATATACTTTAATAAATGCTAAATGCACTCTTATTTTACTGTATTTAAAAGTGTTGTTGATTTATATCTGTAGACTTTTCTAATCTGTTTTACCATTTAACTTGTTGCGAAGAAACCCGATTATCCAATTGCAGGTTTCTTGAATTTCCCGAAAAGTTGAAATGGTGGTTAGGATATCGCCTACTTCAACTTACCTGAGATCCAATTTACAGTTCTGGAGTTAGATTAGCATAGTCCGCGGCGCGAAGCGCCGCCCACACCC